ATGGTGATTTATGCTAGTGACCGCAAAAGGTAGGTGTAAAGCAACAGCCTTTCATACAGTTAATGACCTGAGTAATTCAAGCCTGGTACAAAAAGAAATGATCGCACTGGTTCGCCCGGTGCGTTCCAGCCTGGGTTAGATCATTTGTAAACTAGTATTTTATTGATGGGAATTGCTAGTGGCATAGTGTCAGTTAGTATTAATTGTATGTGCGGGAGAACTGGCTGGAACTGAATGGTTTCCAAAAACGTAAGGTGTAATGCTGTTTGCAAAATTCTTGACCATGAACGAAAAATCTCAGAGTTGTCGCAAGCCATCAATCACCACGTCAAACCGATTCAAATTAGCTGTACTTGAACGGTGTCATCAAATAAAATTAGTTTAAACTCTCTTTTTTATCCAATTGGCACTGTTTTCGGCACTTTATTTCGAGCAGTGATGATGAAATCCGTTATGAAATAGGCAGGGCATTAATGGTGCAATAATGTACTGATTATCCTTAGTGTTAAAATTGTTTGACAGTAAAACGTGGGAATCCGTATTCAAAATCATGGGCCCCCCAGTTGTTTTATTTTAATCCTATTCTCCGTTTTTTCTTACGATATCATGCTAGGATTTTAACCCATGAGCAAAAAAGGCCAAAACTCGTAATAATGGGGTTTTATTTCTCAAAACATTATGAGCTAAATGTCTCAAAAACCAGTCTTCAAACCCTCTGTTTCCTAATTTTAAGCTCATGTCGTAACAGGGATATACAAAATATCTCACAGTAAGGTGGCTGAAATCGGAAGAAATTTTTGGATTTGGTTTGTAGTGTGTATGAGAACTGAATGATGTGCAGTAAGCCTTTATGCCTTCTTCCAAATTGACCTATGAGCTCACGTTCAAAAGTGAGATACTTACAGAAAGAAATAAACTATAAATCTAAAAATTTCGGTAATTTTTTTTATGAAGAGCAGAGAAAATTTCCTTGTGAAGGGGTAGAATCGTCCCGTACGTCCCGTTGCACTTAACTACTGTTAATGCGCGATGATGTACTACACATACACATAGCTACGCAGGGTGCACTGCTCTTTATTTGAGAACTCAATTTGCTTTCCTGAATTCGTGCATTTTAAAGCATCATTTATTGACCAAGTTAAAAAAAAAACAACTTCGGTCTTCTGCGTCTAATAGCGGGTTGACACTGCAATTGCCCCTTATAAATCTTCTTTTGACTTGGGTGATTAAGCGTAATAGACGGCTGCTATGAGGAGTTAAAAGGCCGTTTGCTACATCAGTTATTGTTTCCTGGAGCAAAGAAATAATGGAAAAAATGGCTACAACAAGTCCTATTTACCTCAAAAAAAAGAGAGGAAAAATTTGAAAATTTGAGATGTTCAGTGGCGATTCACTAGATTTACTAGCGCACATAAAAACTTATTTGTTTACGGGGGAAACAGGTGGAACGCAAAATTCCTTATCAATATTCATCTTCTTTCTCAGTCTGCTCCCCGATTAAAGTGGCACCAACAGCGTCCCAACTGAACTTCCATTTACACGTGCGCGGGGCCTAGACGTATTATAGAGCTGAATTTAAAATCTGTAGATTATACATGGACAAAGAATATTTGATTTCGACCTACTAACTTGATTGTTTTCCAGAATCGCTTCCCACCAAAAATATCGTTAACGCAACATAAGCGCATGTGAGGCTTGCATTATATAAGTCGTGCGGCATTCATTTAAAACAGCTTCTTATCTTACCCGCTTCCAGAAACTGTTTTCCTGCCAAAACATTTCCAATCCTGATTTCAGACGTTTGTACCCGGGGCGTAAGTTTGAGTTCACTACATACTTATAGGACCGCACAAGGACTGTGAGTATCATCGTAAAATTTCAGTTTCTTACGTTCTTTGATTGCTGAGTTGAAAGGGACTGACAAAATCCGAACATATCCACTAACAAATGAACAAACACAGTGATACACACACATACTACACATACGCGCCGAACCAAAAACATAGGCACACACCGACAACCGTTCATTAATATGCATTTTTACATTTCATCAGTAATGCAAAAATTATCGTATGCTCCTACCAGATCCATCGTGTTTCTTCACAAACATAGCGGTTTGAAAGATTTTTTGGCTTGACCGTTGGATATCAGGTCGGGTTCAACAGGTCGCCTTAATCGGATTATAGAGTTTATTAATCTGAAATTTTGTGCGACATTTCATTAAACAGTAGGAAAAGTTGGATGTTGAGTTTCTGAGTGGTGCTGAAACAAATTCATTGTTTTTGAGCGTTAGCCGTTCAGTTCACTAATTTTTGCTTTCCTGGTAGCTTTCCTCCCTGTTTCCTAAAATAAAGATAAAACTCGCCTTGGAGCGCCTTTCTAAGTTTGTTCAGTATTCGGCCACTTCCCATTTTATTATATGTCTACGGTCGTATCTCAGTCCTCATAGTTTAAGCTATTTGTTGTCTGTTTGCTTTTCCGTACGTCTTCTTTGTAATACTCCTACAAGCATCTCTTTCACTGTTTTGCCATTATATTTGAAATGAATTAATCACACAGTATGCTTCTGCCATAGGTAACAAAACTTAAGGTGATACTAAAAGGCGCCTAGTTTAAAGCAAAACTGCGTATAAAAAGTAACTGTATTTGAAGAAATTAAAAGGCTGAAATGTTAAAACGCTGAAAAGACTAAAAATAAAGAATATTCTAGAAATGACAGAAGCGGGAGGAAAAAACACGATATTAGCTTGTAGATATGTTGGGTTTAAAGCATAAACTAGATAAGAGCGGTATTGTATATGAACTAGATACGAAGTTAGTTAAGATTAAAAATGAATATCGTAGGGCAGAGATAAATTGAAGAATTTTGAAGTAAGAACAATACCGTCCTTAACATAATTCTCTTTCAAAGAATCGTGTTTTTACTATTGAAAGCAGGAAATACTCTAGCTGCCGAACGAGTTCATCACTACTTTGTTCTCTTTTTTGCTATGTTCATTTATTCTCAGAAAAAGAGCTTTGTTATCATTTCAACGTTTTCAAAAAATGACTTTTTCAACGGTAAATAGTGATGTTTGCAGATGGCTACAAATGACGCGGAAAAATTGTATCTGAAAGTGGAAAAAGGGCGAAGACCGAGCATACGTTTATCTGGAGAATCACGCAGTGTGCAGGTTGTCACAATTTCCAAAGAGCTCCGGAAAATTAGATTTTAATAGCTCTCAAAAATTAATCTACGATTTTTTTAGAAGTTTTTACCTCGCAGAACAACAAAAAAGCTTTCTTTCGTAATGGCAAATTAGAATATGGATGTGATTGCATAGTTTTGTTCCTAAGAAAACTCTACGACTCATTGTTCGTCACAATTTGTGTTTCACTCTCAAACCTGTTAGCTTATCACATTCTTTTGTGGACTGTATTTGTGAAAAGAGCGTAGTGCTGCAGAAATTTTAAAGTACGAAATAAAAAGTGAACAAAATAATGCATAAAAAAAAATCATCAAATCCAAAACTGCCGGATTGCAATTACATACCGTTAATGCGGAAAAAATTGACAGATACGCCTAACTTGGCCAGACAGATAACAACCGAAACGAGATTTTTTTTTGTTGTAAATGGCTGTGAGTACATGTCTGCCTTACCTTCTGGCAGCATTTTTCAGGTAACGGTTCCTTGCGACCAGCGGACTAATTGGCCTGCAGCGCGTGCGCAGATGACAGGTGGTATCACAGTTGTCGTACAGAGACTTGAGCAACAGTACAAAATCACCATCCAGCATATTGTACGATATAGATTTTTTCTGGATCAAAATACGGCACTATTTTTGTTTTTTCAGCCAGAACTAAATTATTTGAGCTGCACATATTTATTTCCAATTACTTTTCAGATTTTTTTTTTTAAAAAGTCTAGATTTTTGCAATTCTTTTTGTGGGAATATACTTCAGATGGAGCGCAAACCGGACATCTGTGTGTTTGTGAATGCGCTAGCACATGAGCGGGAAATCAAAACATGCGTTCGTAATATCAGCACTCAGCTTAGCCACGTCGGCGTTGCCGGGCCTAATCTTGAGGTATAAAACAGCAAATTTGTATTCTCGAGAAGGCAGGAGCCTTCTGCATATGATGATGCTGAGCAAATGCAAAATCTTCAAGAAAAACTGACATTTTACTAGAGCACTCGGCAATTATCAAAGTTGGGTATTACTGGCGAATGTGCTGAATAAGAACCGCTTTTCTTCTTTATGTTTTCGTCATTGCTTTTGTCTTCTTCGGCGTGGACATTCTAAACACTGGCGTCAGCCCATCTTTTATGAATGTTTTTCAAACTTTTGTACAAACTGAAAAAGTGGATTACTTTCAATTCATACATCATGAATAGTCAGCTCTGATCTGTGGGAGGGGAATTTTGTTGAACAGTGGCAAGACACAGTGCAGTTTCGGGTTTCTGTGAGTAGCATTAGAAAGGAAATCTAATTTTTATCAATAGCAGGCTTGTACCGGCATAGATTTTATCACTAAAAGCGAGGATGCTGCTAGCTGAGTGGGAAAAATGCAAAGCGTTTTTAGTAGTGAAGTAAGCAACAGAACCACTAGTCGAGCATGATGTTTCTCTCTGATTTCAGGTTACAGGTCGTATAAATGCGAAGAAAGTAACATTCGAGTCAACAGCTGGAGCATTGCACAGCAGCTCAAAGCTGTCTGCTCGAAGTGTTACGCTCAAAGCGCAACACATATTCATCATGCCAGAGGCAATATATTCTTGTGCAAAATTACGGGTTAGCTCTTTATCTCCTATTTGCAATTATTCGCAAATTCTTGCAAAAGCTTTGTGAATCGGTTTTTCTTACCGTGCCTCCTCGCGCTTGTTCAACAGCAATGGCAGCTTGGATGTGCTTTTCTTTAAGCAAGTTATTATTTTTCCACTTTAATTTTTTTTTTCCAAAGAAGGAACAAATTCTATGTTCACAGGTGGTGTCTCGGCGTATCCAAGTGGATGGATGTATTCGCTGCTGGAGTCAAGAACGCTCCAGAATGATTGTTCTGATTGATGCCGCCTTGCTGCACATCGGTGTCGATGGAGCTATTGGAGCGTCGCGAACCATATTCGATAAATCTGTATTTAGTGCTTTTGTTACTCAAAACTCACGCCTATTTTATAAAAAAATTAAAAACACCAAACAGAGTGAAAAGCAATTGACGCTCAAAATTAATTCAATTTTTAGGTACTGCGAACATCTGAAGATGCTGTGAATTTGCTCTATTTTCGTTTAACCGGATGCCTTGCCAATTTTGGTCGTATAGTGTCGCATAGCAAAATGATGCTCCACGTTGGCGGAAGTGTTTTATCTTTGCAGGACAGTCGAATTGACAGTGCTTCCAGGGGGTACTTTTCCTGATTTAAAAGGGTCGAATTTTCTACCTATTTGTCTGTTTAATTTATTTGGTTTAAACGCAAATTGCAGATATGCAGCTCTGAAACAAATCAAAGGCGTCTCAAGTGGCGCATCTGACTCACTGCCAACAAGCCGCACACTAAGCTCAGCTATTCTGTGCGAAAAACCAGATACAGTTGCGCAGCTCTTGGAAAGTGGCGTCGATTTAAATGACTTGATAAAGGTCCTGAAAATATACAACTATCAGTTTTAGGCAGTTTACAGACGGTGGAATTCTTCCTATTTAATGTATTTTGCATTCTTGAATAATTGGCCAACGCACGGGCTACCCGTGTGAAGATGCGTTTTTTGCATAGTTCCCCGCAGTTTTTATCGCTACCGGCACCAATTTTTTCGGCAAATGCTTCTAGCTAAACAAATTAAGACTAGCCGCCAGAACTGCCAGGAAACATCC